TGTTAACGAGCAGTTGGACAGGTGTACCTAATAAAGTGGCCGGTGAGTGTATTTTTTCAAAGGATAAAGTATGAAATGTGATTTTTTTTCCTCCCCTCACCTATTTTGATCTTTTTCTTCTTGTTTTTCCAACTAAAAACGGGCAGCGCCTTTTTATAGCAGCAAGGCCTGTCTTGTCTGTATATTGTCTGTGTGTTTTGTCTTTTCTTGGATGGGCGGTACCGAAAATGAAATTTCACTCTACTAGAGTGCCACTGCAGGCAAGTAAAGAAATCTTGAATCTTTCTGAGATTTTTTTATGCAAATCTTTGTCCTGTGTCCTAAATTATTTTTCCACTTTTTTTATTTTGTTTATTGAAATTCTGTTTTCCAATTAATCCAGCAGATGTTTTTTATACATTTTTTCAAATGTTGGTTCAAAATGGATTTATTTAATATATTTTCCATATTTTCTTGTTTTTTAAAAAAAAATATAGTTTCTAAATTTTTTTTTTTTCTCTAAATTTTGTAGTTGTATTTTTAAATGGAGCTTAGGCGGAAGTTCAACTGAAGAAACTTATTGCTTTCCTCATCCACCTGCGACACAGCCAATCAGCTTTGAACCACGCCTCCACGAAAGCCACAATTATTGCTCTGCAAGGAAGTTAGTAGAAAACATTGTTACGGGTTAACGCTCGCGTCAAGAGTGAGCATTTTTTTTAGACTGGAAGTGAAGAGGATGTAATCTGTGAAACATAATTTAAAAAGAATGTAATACGTAAAACTCAATCTGAAAAACAGAAATCAGCAAAAGACTCTACCATCTAAAATAAATAAAAAGAAATGTGAAAAAAAAACGTTAAAAAACAAAAGTTCTATGATTTTATATCAATATCAATTTTATATCAATTTCCAAAATGTGTTTGTCATTATGACATTGATGCCTTTAGGAAGTCTGTTTAAAATTCACATTAGCCTTTTTGTCTAATTCTATGTCTTTATGATTTATGTCTTTATGACTTAAATAGCAAGTATCTTTATTCCAACAAAATTTTACCAGGACAAGGTCTCTCCTTGCACACCCTTGACTGGGTGTCTGTCCCCTCACACTGCGTGCCATCAAATGCGGGAGGGGGGTTGTTGCATAGTCTGATCCTGGACTGTATCCCCTTCCCGCAGGTCTCACTACATGGACTCCACGATAACCAAGAACCCCAGTTTCCTAACACTACAAGAGCAAAAAAAATTATATTAAGTGAGAAGCTTTATACTCATCTGCTGTAGTAAGTACTGTATAATATGAAAACCTAACCTGGACATGGTCTGACACTGCACATAATGGCTTCCACGGCTTTCCCGAGACATGGCCTGCCCCCGTGTTGAGGGGGTGGATTACTGCAGCTCCGGATCCTTGTTTTGTTGCCCTGGCCACAGGTTTGGGAACACTCCTCCCAGGGAGACCACTGTGACCAGTTACCGTCCACTTGTTCAGCGACAAAATAGTTTCAGTTTTTTTTTTAAACAGGTCAGGAAAAATGTTCAAACATTATTATTAATGAAGTACCTGGACATGGTTTTCCTCGACAGCTGCGTGTTTCTGTGCTTGATCCTGCACAGTGTCGGCCTCCGTTAGCAGGTAACGGATTATTACACTGCCTGACTCTTTTCTGAACCCCTGCACCACAGGATACGCTGCAGAGCCCCCACTCTGTCCACTCTGAATATCCCCCATGGACTGAAAAATACATTTGCATGCATTTGGGTTTGATTTACCAATCTACAGTGTAAAACATCCCAGCTTTGAAATTGTATTTTGGAAGGTTTTGGTTGGTTACCTTGGTAACTTACCTCGTACAGTAAGAGAGACACTGACCAGCACTGAGCCGAGCAAGTTCCTGGCCACACATTCATATTCAGCAGTGTCCTCCTTTTGGGCACTGGTGATCCGGAGGGAGCCATTAGACAAGGTGGAGAAGCGGTCATTTGCCAGCAGGGGGCGTGCGTTTTTGGACCACTCTATCACAGGCGCAGGCTCACCCTCTGCCTTACAGTTAAGAACAACAGTCGTACCTGCATCCACCACAGTTCCAACTGGCTCTAAAGTTATAATAGGTGCGCCTGATGGAGGAGGAAACATCTGTTAGATTAAATCTCCCGCTTCCATTTTTATTTGACAATTAAACCTTGTAATTATATCTTGACAAAAGCAAAGACTTACTCTGCAGTGTGAGAGTGATACTCCTTTCCACCACCCCAGCATCATTTGTTGCTACACACATGTAGCTGCCTGCATCTTCACTCTGTCAAACATATTTTAAAGAGTAAATAAATCACAAATGTATATGCATACATTTATTTAAATCACTGTAATGCAAACATACCCTATATAACTTTTTTACTTTTTTAGAAGTAGCGACTAACCTTAACTTATTGTATTTTATTAGGTCTTTTATGTGACCCTAACACAAAGAATTGGATATTAATAAAGAGGAAGAAAAGTTATGCATAGCTTTATGCTTTTTAAATATACAATCAGAAAATTAGTTAGCCATTGTTATTCAGAACCAAAGGTTAAGACTATGAGGTCATACTTTACTGCACATACTGAACCATGAACCATGCCTTTAAAATTAGCAGGGGACTGAAACGGATGTTTGAAAAAGTGCAGGGGACATGTCCGCCCAAAAATTCACATCCATGCTTCAATCTCTAACGTTCTTCTCTATCTGCTTTTCCTCAGAGTAGCTTTGCCTTGTCTGTTCCTGTTTGGCTGTGACTCCATCCTGGAGAGAAACATCAGCTGTGCTGCTTCCATCAACACCATAGATGTTTGGAGATCGGCCTGTTTTCCAGTGTAGTCCTGTTTCTCTGACCATGACTGGCTGGATGTGCTCTCTTCGTCCTCTGGCATGGGAGCTGGCTCGGAGCTCGTCTGCCTGGCTGTGTGTTTCCTGGACCAGGGCGCCTTTTACAGCTGCTTTTTGTGTCTCTGCTTCTGTCTCTTTGAACCCCAGTTGGCCTCAGCAGATGGCCGCTCACACTGAGCCTGGTTCTGCTAGAGGTTTCTTCCTGTTAAAAGGGAGTTTGTCCTCTCCACTGTCGCTACAAGCATGCTTAGTGTGAGGGATTGTATTTGAGTCAATGAGTCAATGCAATCAACTGGTTTTTCTTAGATAGAAAACTTTGATTCAATTTGACTGTATGATCTGGTTGAACTGTAAAGTGCCTTGAGATGACATGTGTTGTGAATTTTGGCTCTATATAAATAAACTGAATTGAAATTGAATGGATGCTTTGTAAGCTCTCTGAGGACCATGGCCTGCTCTGGAAGATGTGGCTACAAAAATGTCAGAAAAAGCTGAACCCTCTGTGGCGGGTGTGTGCTGACTCTTTCCAAATCAGTTTGAATGTAATTGGTTAAATCTGAACAAAGCTACATCCCCAGTGATATAAGGGTGTGCACACTTTCTGCAACCACGTTTTACTTCGCCTCCCTGGCAGATTTCTGTTTCTTTTTTAATAGCTTTGTACAAGTTAAAGGTCACATTAAAAGTAAATATAAGTTGTGAAATTAGTTATCTTAATATGATTTTTCCACATGACAAGAACCTGGTAACCAAACAGGGGTTTGTTGCAGACTTTTCTCACCAATCTAACACTTGCCCACCTTTAAAGGGATGAATTTGCTTTACTCATACAAACTTATCTATATGCATACGCTCATCTAACCACACACAGCCACTCACACATAATAATAATAATGCTCAAGCAAACACAGTAAACAACAAAAATTGTAAAAAGAAATAAAGACCAAGAAATAATATAATAATAATTCTTTGCAAAACATTTCAGATTCAGTTTGACTAGATTATTGTTCAGGTGTGAAGCAAACCTCAGTCTCCACCTCTGGTATTTTGCTCTTGTTTTCTCTCAGGATTTCTGTGCTAAAGACAAGCATGTAATTTTGATCTTCTCTGACCATAAAAGTTCTTTTGCATGTTTGCCATGTCTCTTAAATGTACGGAAGAGGATTAGAGCCACTAAAAAAAAAAAAAAAGTTAAGTAATTTTTAAATTTTATTTCAGTTTAACATGGGAAAAAAGTCAGAATTCTGACTTTTTTCCCACGTTAAACTGAAATAAAATTAAAAAATCAGTAAAAAATATTTATTTTTTTTCAGTGGCCCTAATCCTCTTCCGTATAAATGGCTTGTAGAAAACTATACATTAAGCTTTTTTCCTATGTACTAATGACTAATATCTATCCTCTCCTAACATCTATCCTATCCTTTTTGTTGATCTCGGCTTAAAAACTTGAAATATTGTTTCATAACCTAACTGGTTTTAACTTCTGCCAGCCGTTATCTGAGCCGTCTGGTGTGTTCCTTAGTTTTTGATTGTTTATGTTCTCTAGAAAACCGCTGAAAACAGTTGCCTTTGTTCCAGTATGTAATAACCCGTATCTGGACTCTGAAGAGATCGGGTTTCAATGGATTTTATTTGGGGGTTTCAGAGCAAAGGGGGTACATTCAAACATTTACTAAACTTCAGGTTTTTATTTTGGAAAAATAATAATAAACAACAACATGTATCCTTTTCATTTAAGCTTGACAGTTTTGTCTATTTCCATTAAAACATATAATTTTTTGGTTTAAAACCAGCACAAGGGGTAAAATTGTTAAGAGCGCCCTCCACTCCATTTTTTACTTCTGTGTCATTTCTTACCACTGTGCCATAGATGGCCAGAGAGCCGTTATCCAGCTGACGGATTCGGTTGTTGATCTGGATGTTTATGCCATTTTTGCTCCACTGGATGGTTGGCAGAGGGTCTCCTCGGACCTCACAGTTCAGGACGGCATTACCGCCGAGAGGTTCAATTCGGTTGGAGTAAAGGTCTCCATCGATGATTGGAGGCTCTGCAACACACATTATAAAGACACGAGTGGTTATTGTGAAAGAGAAGAAATTAATAAAAAGCTCAGAAGTATAACTGTTAAAAACATCATAATTGTTTATGCAAAAGCTATTTATTGACTTGGATATAAGATGCTATGACAGTCTTAACAATCAGGTTTCTGTATGAGGAACTTACCTAGAAAAGACTATGTAAATTGTTTCCAGTCAACTTTTCGAGAAGAACCTAAGGCAATGTTGACAAAAATGCAGAACTTTTTCACTGTGGTTGACCTTCCAGGAAAAAATGTTTTTTTATTTATTTATTAGTAGGTTTTCTAAACGCTTGGTGACTCTTTGGAGCAGTACACCCCCTACCGTTTCACTCTGTGTGTGGTTAAAATTTTGTCATCCAGCTTGGATTACAATGGATAATTAGTTTAAGTTCTTAAAAAATCTGTATGATTTGATTGAAATGTCTTTGTTAAGTTCCTTGGGATGACATGTGTTGTGTTTTTGCACTATGTAAATAAAAATAAAGTAAATCAATTTCAAATTGTATTTTATTTTTTTATTTCTTTATTCCTTCTTACTTTATTGTTGTCAGGATTAAGATAGTAGGTGTTTTCTTGTGTTTCTGGAGTCTTTTTTCATTAACATCTTATTTTTCACATATTGATGAGCTGCTGAAAGAAATTAAGTCTTTCTTCATATTAAGACTGAACTTAAGTAGGATCGGATTAAGTATAAAAAGTCCATAGACACGTCTAACATCTTGGAATAGTATACATTTACAAAACAGATTTACATTTACAGATCAAATTAACAACTCATTTTTTTCTTCTTTTTTTTTTACATTTACATTCAAGTTTGCTTAAGCTGGTGTTGAGGCTTCATACAAATCTTTCCTACAGGTGGTAATAAACATAGAGAGTGCTGCAGTGATCAGTTAAAATACTCTAATATTCCTTGGCCACCACCAATTTAGTAACCTGACTCCGCCAGATGGATTTGCTTCCGTTGCAGTAATTTTGGGAAGGGGCGAAAATACTGGTTAGCTGATTGGCCTATGTTGGTGATAGACGGGCCAAATAAACCAATCAGATCAACGAAGCATATGACGTACTAACAGAGCGACGACGAAGAGGAGCCAATTGATAGATCAAACTCTTGCCGAAACCAGTTGGGAGAAGAGCAAAAACATCTTTTCCTCTGAGAAAAGCCTCCAGAGCAGTGTTTTGCTCTTCTTTCAGTGAAGAAATACTCTGTAATTCCAATAAAACTTGCTCGATAGCCACGCTAACGCTAGTTTCATCGGCTGAAGCCGCCATGTTCTTTAGACTTCTCGTTGCGTCACACCTCAACCCGCCTCAAAGCCAACGCTGATTGGACGTTCGTTTGGTGAACGGCTCCAAATTTTCTTCAACGGAGAGTCTCCAGACTGATTAGCGAGTGAAATCTAAAAAGCTCGCAAGATCAGGATGGTCTTACGAGGCTACCAATTAAGTGCTACTTGGTCAAAATGGAATTTCCCATTGGGAACCTACTAGCACTAAGTTGCTAACTGGTTAGCAAAATGCTTCCCACCAACCGGCCGTAACCAAACGTGCTTGCGACCCTACTGCCACAACAACCCCGCCCTCTTGATAAACGACCAATCACATTCACTTTATTCAGTCGTGTAAAGTCGTGCACCACTTTCGAAATTCCGAAATGTAACGGTTGGAACAGCTGCTTCCCTATGACTTTTTATGCATGTCCATAAAAGCTTGGTTTACCTTTAACATAGACGTATCCCAGGGACTTAATGCTTCCCACACTGTTTTCAGCCACACAGGTGTAGGTGCCAGAGTCCTCTTTACTGACCCTTTCTATCAGAAGCTCACTGTGACCAATCATAGGACTATGGTGAACTAGAGAGGAAAACATGGAGAAAACACATTGTAAAGGGTGATACAAATACAAAGAGGGAACATGTTAATTTATCAATCATCAAACCTGGGATGATTTTATTGTTCATGGTCCATTTAATTGTGGGTGGTGGGATTCCACTGACACCACAGTTCAACAGCAGCCGTTCTCCTTTGTTAAGAGCAACATCTGCAAGCAGCTGGGTGAAGTAGGGGTGCGTATGAACCGACAGCGTCATCGTCCAGCTGTCCTCCCCAACTGAATTTGTTGCAACACATGTATAACTGCCGGCGTCTTCTGGCTGAAAGGTTGGTTTTAAACAGACCAATGTTTTTAACTGACAAAAACATACGTACATGAACTTGGGTGGAGCTGATGCATGAATGGACAAACGTGACTAGTCCACCTGGTCTGTTTGTTTGTATACCTGAGCGCTGTCGATAACCAGCTCCCCAGATGGCAGAATGGTGTACTCCCCTCGGCTTTCGTTGAGAGGACTCCCATCTTTTTCCCAGGACAGTTTGGGTTGTGGAATACCTTCTGCCACACACGACAGCTGAGCCTGGCTTTTTTCCATAACAACAACCTCCTGTTCACCACGGCGGATGGAGGGAGGAACTAAAGGAAAAAAAAATCAACAACAAAAAAATGTAGTACCTTAAAATATGTCTGGTCTTACTTTAACTTATTTTACCTGAACCTCTCATAACTTTATGTTTATAACAATAAAATATAAACATCAATCTTGGAATTTCTTTGTTTACTTCTGTATTACAATTAAATACGACAGTAGAAATGAACTGATCTACGGAGCTCCTCTGATGACATGGTCAAAAAAAATTTTTAATTGTGGCCACGGAGTAGTATTTCGTGCGCACG